GACTTGAAAAATCATGGCAAAATATTAAACAACCTTAACTAGTTTGAAAATGAAGCCACACCTTTTAACCAGAGAAGTAGAGGAGGTGTTGATGGTGAGGAGAGACATCGTTGACAAACGACTGGTTTTGCGAATTGGAGCATAGAGAGAGCCTACAGTAGCACGGGGACAAAGATAGGGTGCTTTTGAAGAAGACCATTGCCTTAACGAAAACATGAATAGAACTTGCACCCGTTGGACAATCGCCCCGTCATGTCGGAGCGCGGCGGCATGGTTTGTGTCGGCCGATTCAACCAGAGTCGAAGTCGTTGCCTTTGAATCCAAGACGACCAATATTCATATTTTAGGTGTTCGGAAAAAAAAAATTGTTGGGCTGGGAACTAGTCGGAAACTCCCCTCCTATGCACAGCGGGCTTTAGTACTTTAATCGGGCTAATCAGTAAGCCATTCACCCAGGCTTGGAGCTGAAACCATCCGCGAACTGATTACAGCCCAGGCCCCGAAGGGCAGACTCCGATTCTCAGAGCACGACTTAAATATTATTAAAACCGTCCACTGTCAATCGATGTGGGATTCATTCCCTTTAAACTTTAAAACTAACTTAATTGATAAACCCCTGAACTTCTAGGTCATTAATTTTATGGCCCCTTAAATACTACGGTGTGCTTAAAAAAAAAACCCTATGTTAATGAAAAACTTAACATTTTATCGTGAAATATTTTTAAATATCCAAGAAAATAAGTCCTTAAACTTTTTAAAAATTAAACTAATGGGTAACGATTCATTTAAAGAAAAACAAAAATCCTCTCCTAGCCCTAACCCTGGCCCTCTCCTTGCTTCTGCCTAAAGAAATCATGAGACCATAAACACTTTCCAGTTCCCACTTAAGCTATGGAACCAGAACCAAACTATTTGTTCCATTTAAAATCATCAATTCTTGTCAGCAAATCACCATCTCAAATACTATAACTTTGCATAATTTTCAGTTAACTTTAGCAGTTGTCCATCCCAAAACAGGCAAGGTTGTGTATAAAGGGCCATCATAATGCAACAGTTAGAAGCAAATAGCAGACTCTTGACGTACTTTTGGTGGAAAAAATACTTATGAAGGTCTATGAGACTTCTAACAGACCACAAAACCATTACAAACTAGTAATTAACATAAACAGTGGAACAAGCTAAGAAGCTTCATGTATGACCATATCTCTATTCATAATCTCAAATTGTACATAATACACACGCCACAAATCTTTTAACACCATAACTGCAAGGAGAAGCATCTCAAGGAAAAAGAGAGAAAGACAGAAGTAGATATAAAATGAAGAAAGGCAGAAAGTGAAAAAGAATTACAACATACCAGTAGCAAAAAATCAACCAAGAGAAGCACAATTAGAAGATCTTGCTATACTCACCAGTGAGGGAATTCTTTAGATTTGAATAAAGACCATACAGGGAGTACTGTCGAAGGTTCTCCACTTCATACCATGAGTTCATAACTGAAAGGTGCTTATCTGTGCCAAAGAATGCTAATTGTATCCCAAGGCTACAATCTACACTTCCATTTTGATTTTTGCAGCCGGATGTCTTGATGGAACAGTCTTGGTTGTTGAGACATACAAAACCAGAGTTCCCTGCACATTTAGCACAGCCATCTCTTTTCCAGTACAAGTTTTGCAGCCTGCCCTTTTTAAACTCAAGCACTTGCAAATACAATTTTATCAATTTGCTGAGAATGCATTAAGGTAAATTTATGTCATGAAGAAACAGCTTCTGGTAAATCCCTTGCAAGGGTAAAGCTTGTTACAGGATATGTACTGTTTGCAACAAAAGTAGGTGGGGACCTCGCAGCATATTTTCGACCAGCAAATGCAACCATATACCCACCGTATGAGTCCTGGAAGGCAAAAGCAATTACAGGGTTATAATCTCTATGCAAATAATGCAGTTGTATGTAGGTTAACTTCTCAGAACAAATATAAGCTCCATATAAAGCAAATTTCAACAATCAACCAGAAACAACATGGTCGCAAATATTTTGCTCCGTATGGGGTAGTATGGCTTAAAAGAAAAGCTTGGAGTCATTAAATGCCCCGTGGGATGCAGGCCACAGAAAGCAGTTACAGGATCCACCACTATTATTTTTAATAAGTTCTTCTGTGGAAAATCTTCTTAGTGGTTTCTTTGAGATTGCTGTTAATGTAGTAAAATGTGCAAGATGTGAAAAAAGACTATAATTTTGAAGTTTGCTCTTGGAAGTCCAAGATAAATGGGCACTAAAACCACATGACAAGGAGCATGGTTAAAGACTAGAGTTCCTTCTTTAAGGCTAGCTGCTCTTACGAAAATTATGGCAACTTATCAAAAATGCTCATTACTGGCAAGGATTCTGATGGGCTTCAATATGTATCACTTGATTCACTTCATACATCTAATAGAGAACGACACTATTGTTTTTGGTTATGTGACATGGTCAAGCATGTCAAATACTTTTTCTGAAGCAAAAATACTATTGTGGGGGATAAATGAATGTTAATTACCAACACAACCAAGGAAGAGAATGATTCCCTAGCTAACTTTTGTGGCTACAATCCTAAATTTAGGTGCCAACAATTATTTCATCTGTAATCATTTCTTGGATACTCGAGGAGCCTCATGTTCAATTTCCCCTGGGGTAGGTGATGGTCCCACCTTTATCATACTACTTATTGCATGGTTACTTCACATTATTATATTAAATTTTTTTTATCAGCTATTATATTACTTAATGCTATGATGAAAAATGAGGCCACTCAGTGAAATTATGTGAAGGGCTCACATCAACTTACCTACTACATAATATTTTCCGCATTTCATGGACACAATGATGCATATTAGATTTTTTGAAACCAAATGAATAGAAATTGGCGTGCCCACTCTCTAGTCATTCCTGGATCCTTCAGGTTGTCTCACGTTCGAATACTCCTAGTTCGGTAATGTGCCTATCTTTATTATACTAATTGCATAGTTACTTCACTTAAATAATGACAAAATTTTTTAATATTTTTAATAAAATAACACATAAAAATTATTTAGAATATTTAAATAATTTTATAATTAATTCTGACATTTTAATTATTATAATTGATTGTCAATCTACTACAATATGCTTGTTTGAAGTATGGAAAACTCACTTTTTCAAAAAAAAAAAAAAATATTCACTCAAATTAGCGTGTTATTTATTTTTATGTATAAATAAATATTGAAAAACACTGGCACCTTCGAGGTCTAGAATAGGTATGCTTTGTCCCAACAACTAAAAAAATCATGCACTTAACCCCATCATGGTTTTCTCTTTAAACTGAGGAATATTTCGGTTAAGTGGAACTTAAGATTTAAACGTGCATTTAGCCTCAAATATGTCAACATCTAAGTGGAAATATCCCTTTAGATCTACAGAAAGCTAACCTCAACTAGTCAACTCGCAATGGGTCTACATGCATATTTTTGTGATTATGGGGTGAAACTCACTTGTTACAAACCATAGAGGGCATATGACAATTTACCCCTAAAAAATGAAGAATAATTCACTTTTTATTTTACTAATTCGCAATCAGTCCTCCAACAAAATTAAAATCGCCGTTCTTCAAATTTTTTTACTTTTTTTTTTATTACAGTCGCCATCTTGCCACCGATGTTCTAATTAATCGGAAATTGTTTTCTCTTCTACTCTGATTTTTTTTTCCGGCATCGATCACGATCACCAACTGTTTGAATATTTTTCCCATGGCAGATGATAAGGAAAAGAGAAGAAGATGCTGTGTGGTGAAGGTTTGTGATACTTGACAACAATGCATCCGGCAAATCATTTAGGTTAACAATTGTCCTTCCTTCAATGGAGTGATTCTATTTGGGAAGTTGAAAGGATGAGTTTGTAAGGAAAATTTGTGGTTTGACTGCATATGTATTTGAAATAACAGGAACTTGTGTAAAGAGAGTGGCATTGGGGCAAGAGTTTACGAAGCTGGAATGCTGGAAGTGTAGAGATGGGCATATCTTTGAATCGCAATGTTGTGACATTGTTCCTGTCCTGGATGAACCCAAATTCAGCATCTTTTGAGTGCTGAAGCAATCACAAATGAAAGACTGTCCTGATGAATGTTGGCTGCGGTTGTCTGCACGTGCTCTTATTAATGATAAAATGTTCCTTTACATGTCTGCATTGCAATTCAGGTAAGAATTAGGAGAAATTTGATTCATATTTGTATACATTTCAGATATAGGAAAGATTCTTGTTCTTCAAAAATTTGGAGTTTGCCTCAGAGACCCTGTCCTGATTGACGTCAGAATTTTCATTTTCTTTTCGAGCCATTTGACTTGGAATTGATGAGTCTAGTAAAAGGTAGAAATGATTGTAACAATACACCAAACAACCAATTTTTGTTTGAAAGGGCTACGGAACATAGAACTGCTCTGCATTAGTGTCAAATTTTATTTGTATTGTTGACATTAATCAATTAACGTTATGGTCAGTCCAATTTGTATAAATTAATATGCTCTTTACCATCTTCCAGTGTTCCTCTTAAGCATGTGGCTTTGTAAACACTTAATGGATGAGGACAACAAAGAAAATTTCAAAGTGGCTTCAGCATTCAAGTTTTTCCACATTTGTTTCCCGACTTAAAAGATTTAAATTCATCTTCCAGTCTAATTGTTTTGTATGGTTTTCATGAAAAATCAAACAAATCATGAACAGAAAATATGACCTCTATGGTAAGAGAAAAGTGCTGAGTGATATTGCACAAGTCAAGCCATACTACCAATCCCACATTGCAAAGACGATCTCCAATAATTTCCCCTTTCCCTGTATTCTTAGATGTTCTTCCAATTTCATTTTCCTAATTTCTGAGTTTTTGTTAGAGTATTTTCCTGAAAAGCTCTGACGTTGAAACTTGAGATATTCAACAGCAGCTCGTTAAGTGGCAGCAAGAGTAGTTCAGTTTAGAGGAAAATCCTGCTGGTGATACCTGATCTAAAAATGCATTGTGAGAGTTATAATTTTGTTTTTTAAGCTAATGTATGACTCATGAATTCTGATATCTATTTTGTGTAAAAAAAACAATAATATTTATGCTTTGTCTTGTCCCAGTCCTAATTCTAACATCATCATGTGAATGGGAATTGTTATTTTATTACCATCGAGCCCAAGGAAACATTGGCATTTCGAGACACAACGATATCCTTTATATTTTCTTTTTCTCTTCTTTTTCCCTTGATGAACACAAAAGTTGCAGACAACTAATCTATTTTGTTTCTTTTCTTCCATGTTCTGTTCAAGGTATTCCTTTTCAAAAAGTAGATTTGACCTAGAAACCAAATCACATCTTAAATATTATTATCAACTTGCTTTAGTAGTTTTCATGGATCCAAGCCCCTAGGCAAAGAACAAAAACAAGTGGGATGCATGAAAAAAGCTGAGCTCAATACTTATCTCAACCATTTTTTCCCTATATTTACTCTACTCCACTCTCTTGCTTTAATTTCCCTGTTCAATATCAGATCTTGTGAAAATTCATCTCAGCAAGATGGCATTGAGCAACAATGTCATTGGAGCAATCAACTTCGTTGCCATGCTTCTGTCCATTCCCATCATTGGAGCTGGTATCTGGCTTGGAAATGAACCAGACAACTCTTGTGTCAAGATCCTTCAATGGCCTGTTATTATTCTGGGTGTTTTGATCCTAGTTGTGGCTCTAGCAGGCTTCATAGGGGCATTCTGGCGCATTCCTTGGCTGCTCATCCTATACCTCATAGCAATGCTTGCCCTGATAATACTGCTTGCTTGCTTGGTCGTTTTGATTTATATGGTCACCATTAGAGGTTCCGGTCACGTTGAGCCAAACCGCGCCTACTTGGAGTATGATCTGAATGACTTTTCTGGCTGGCTTCGCCGAAGGGTTAGAAGTTCCTTTAAGTGGGATCGTATTAAAGCCTGTCTTAGCACCACAAACATGTGTGCTGAGTTGAATCAGCGTTACCGCATGGCTCAAGATTTCTTCAATGCCCGTATAAACCCTATCCAGGTATGTTTCACCTTCTACTCATTCCGTTAATTCCATACCTTTGATCTTTCTTCGTACAAAGTTGGATGTATATATATTTTGGAAATGATACTTCGGCAGATTAACACTTGGCTACTACAGAAGTTTGAACCCTAAAATCCAAAATTAATGTTTTAAGGTTTGAACGTTAACAGGTAAAAAGCTGGCTAAGCTCTAGTTAGCTACTATAAATCATTCCCAGCAAACAAAAGAAGAGTTCAGCTAAATTGGCATTTTAGCTTCATAACCTTGACTCTAGTGTCAAGAACCGGGATTCAACTTCAATCTCAAAAACTAATCAGGCCTAAAGAGTGAAGGATGTTAACTTAGACAAATGTTAATGTCTATATCTTCTTTTATAAAGTATTCTTCATCTTTGTCTTTGTCCCATTATGTTTTTGTTTTACAGTCGGGATGTTGTAAGCCACCAACACAATGCGGATACACGTTTATAAACCCCACATACTGGATCAGCCCCATAAACACAGCAGCAGACATGGACTGCCTGCAGTGGAGCAATGACCAGAACCAGTTATGCTACAATTGTGATTCATGCAAGGCAGGGTTACTTGCCAACATCAAGGAAGAATGGAGAAAAGCAGATATCATACTACTCATAACACTGGTTGCCCTGATATGCGTGTATGTGGTGGGCTGCTGTGCCTTCAGGAATGCCAAAACAGAGGATATATTCAGAAAATACAAACAGGGTTACACATAAGAGGGTGTTATGTAGTAGTAATGCTTGTAATGGAGCATAAGGGGATTGGTTTGAAATGGTTATTGTATTTTGTATTAGAATTCAAGACCCTTCGCTTTTTTTTATATATATATATATAAAGGTTATGATTAGTAAGTTAGTATTGTTAAATGTTAATAATTGGAGATTTGATCTCTAAATTTGAGAAACAGCCTACCGACCTCAGTAAGATGCGCGAGCATCGGCCGGTTGACGGAGTATCTTTGGTTTTTTCCTCTATTTCTGATTGAAATTTTGTGTTCGGATTGATGATGATAAGATTGCAATGCAGAATACTTAGTCAAGTTGGGGGGGTCCATTTGCGCAGGGAACCGAAAGTTTTAGATTGCTTTTGCCAGAGAAACATAGACTTTTAGGGTCGATGTGATGCAAGTAACACTACGGTTTTGACTCTTGTGCCTGACATGTAGATATCGCACTCAAATTCAACCACAAAATCAGGAAATGGGTCCCTAATCTGGACTGCATTTTCGGTCAGTGAATTATCAAAATACCTTTAAGTAGCAGTCCTTCGGACTTAATGATATTAGTGAGTCCCCTCCCTTTGGACGGTTCATCATGTCAAATTATTCATAAAAAAAAAAACTTTAATTAATTAAAAATATATATTGAGGGTATCTCAATAATTTTATAGTCTAATTTGCATAATTTCATGCCGTTTGGACGAAAAACCATGTCTTCATTAAAAGAAACAATGGCCCAATGGGCAAATCTTCTCTAGACTCTGGTGAATAGGCAGCCCATTTTGGATGAATCTTGGGTGTTCATGCTGAGCCCAAAACGTCTAGATTAGAATTTGAATTTCTTTCAGAAGTCAATTACTATTTTAGACTTTTTAGTATCCATTTGCTTTGGGCCATTTGAAAACAAAGTAGGCTGGGTATTTGCAAACGAACTTTTCATGGGATTCGAGGCAATTGCTAATTGAACCATAATTCATGAGGCTGTTCAGTAGAAACCAGCCTCCTTTTTTTTTTTTTTTACTTGGAAGTGGATGACATAACAAAACATAATTCACTCTATTTTCAGAATATCCCTCCACTAATCCAACAAGTTTAAACTAAAAATCTTTAATAAAGAAATTCTTAACTACTAAGACATGTCATAGGAGACGAAAAGGACTCAATCCATTAAACTAGTTGATCTTGTGCTGATTTTGCCAATTAAACAGAAGAGGACTGGGTTTTTTTTCCCAGCCATGTTCAGTTAGTAACTAAATTACCTGTAAGTTTAAACAAACGCCAATCATGTGCAGCCTCAATATATATACAACTAATGGAGATGTCCAAAATAATAATAATAATTATTATTATTAT